TGCTCCAGCAAGGCAACGTCTTTCTTTTAGTGAGGGGCCCAAAACTGAACACAGCATTCGAGGTGCGGCCTCACCAGCACCGAGTACAGGGGCACGATGACTTCCCTTGTCCTGCTGGCCACACTGTTCCTGATACAAGTCAGGATGCCACTGGCCTTCTTGGCCACCTGGGCACACTGCTGGCTCATATTCAGCTGTGCTGGGGGCTGGCTGTGGTCTGGCAGCCAGGCAGGACTCAGCGGGGCCGTGTGTGTGGAGGCATGGGTCCTTTGAACACAGCCAGGGCTAGTGTTTGAGCTCAGCTCGCCCTCTTGTCTGTGCGGGGAACTTCGGGGATCAGCTGAATTCTGGGTTGGGAGAGGTGAGAGTGGCATCCCTGTATGGTATTTTAGGCAGCTGCTTCAGAAAAGGCAAGTAAATCCCCTGAACTCACAAGGAAGAACTTGGGGTAAGGTCATGTGGTTGTCTTATGCCTTTTCTGTAAGGGTGTTGCTGCGTAAATAATTTTTGAAGGTTTTATTATACGCAGTCTGGTAATATTGCTTAACCTTTTTCTGATATCAGAATCAAACTGAGCTTTGCTCTTACCTCTGAGGTGACTGAGGACTTGGGCTCCCCATATCTAAATAATTGGTTAAAACATTGGATGAATACCCTGACTAATAACTTTTTCTTGGGGTAAAGCTTTTCAGTTCGGCAAACAGAACTCTCTCAGGGCTGGCCACAGTGGGAACTAAAAAAATTCGCTGCCTTCTCTTCCAAGTTAAAGATGCATTCCTGTAAAGCAGTCTTTTCTAGTAAATGTAAAACCGTATATGAGTAGAAAGACTGAATTTCCCAGCTGCAGGTTTTTATGTAACAGAACCAATATACTTCTGTCTGACTATTCTTAATGCTCTTAGGTGGATTCAGTAAGCTTACCGGTATCAGGGCACCCTTAGCGTGAGAGCACAGGGTCTAATGAATTTGTTTGCTTGACTACAGGGAAGATGAACTTAAGTACAATGACTAATTAGAAAATACGGTTTCCAGTGGAAAATATAAGTGTGAATTGAGAAAAACAAAATTGCATTTACATATGTAATTTTCTAATTATTTTAGATGTAAACTTTGTTGGTACCATTTTTTTTTTCAGAATTTGTTGCTTATTTTAATTGCCACTATGTGTATCAGTAATCATAGAATCACAGAATGGTTTGGGTTGGAAGGGACCCCTAGAGGCTATCCAGTCCAACCCCCCTGCAATGAGCAGGGACATCTCCAACTGGATCAGGTTGCTCACAGCCCCGTCCAACCTGACCTGGAATGTTTCCAGGGTTGGGGCATCGACCACCTCTCTGGGCAACCTGTGCCAGCATGTATGTAGTGAATTCTAAAATTAAATGCCTTAAAAACCAAATCTGGTTGCTGAGAGCCACCTTGGCAGAGTTGTATGCCTCCATTCATTACCTTCAGCTGCAGTTATGATTGTGAAGCCATGTTACGTGTATTTTTGATTGCAGTTTCGGATCAAGTTCTGATGCTCTTACTAATATTCATCCTAAAAAAAAAAAAAAAAAAAAAAAGATGTGGGGGGGTGTGTTAATTGGTTTTAGTATAGCTGTGAAAGCACATGCATTTCAGTGACTTAAAGTAACTTCTCAGCAGTACCCAGTGACGGGACAAGAAGCAGTGAGTGCAAATTGAAAGAAATTCCATCTTTTTTTGCTGTGAGGGTGGCCAAACACTGGAACAAATTGCTCAGGGAGGCTGTGGAGTATCACTGTGTAGATATTGAAAACCAGACGACATGGTGCTGGATGACTTGCTTAAGCGGGGGGTTGAAGTAGGTGATCTTGAGAAGTCCTTCCAACCTTTGTGATGCTGTGAACCAAGCTGGGAAAGGACAAACTTGATCATTCTGTGCTCATGGAGTGTGAATTTTAAAAAAAAGTATCAACTGCAGAAATGGCCAAAGAGTTAGCTTTTTTTCCCCACTTATTTTTAACTTCTAATAAACTTTGATTAACTGTTTATCTTGTTGGTGCTCATCAGGAAAAAATGTTTATGTTAATGATGGGTTTCATAGTTTGGATTAAAACCAAAATCCCTTCTGTGGGCAGTATATTTTTTTCTGTTCATTGAAGAAATTTAACCTGTTTATTATTTTCCATGTTATCACCGTATATGGGCACACAGCAGGGGTTTGGGTGGGAACTGAGAGGGAACTTTCAGAAATTACAGTTCAACACATGCTTCAGGCACAGAATTAGTCTTGGTAAAAAGGTTTAGTAAACTGATGTTTCTCAAATCGTAGGGTCTGAGTGAAGTAGTACTAAAGAAATGACACTTTTCTCCACTGGGTGGTGCTGCTTGCCCAGAATTGCATTACTATCTCTAGCATCATTTTATGAGCAGCCCAGAAGATTGGTGTTAACTTCTGAGCTGTATTTTTTAGCTGGAAGATAGTATGTTGTTTCCTTTCTTGCTCTTCAGACATGGGTGAACCAACACTTATGATAAATTGTGGACGAAAAACCTCTTTGTTGTTGTTTGTCTGGCGAGGAGAGATGACTTTATGGTTGCTGTAAGTGGCATGAAGTTGCTCCTGGCTTTCTTAAATACTTCTCTAAAGATGTAAGCAAGTTTATTTTCCTGCGTCTAGCTTGCCGTATTTGAAAATAAGAGTGTGTTAACCTGGCAGAAATCTGAGGATTGATCTCATAACAGTAGTGATGAGGTTTGAAATACTTGGATTAAAAGTGCTGGAGAAGGGAAGATCTTTTAGAATTTCATGCTTGAGAAATCTCTGTATTAGGTGCCCTTGTGTTTTGTTACTGGGGTCCTCCTGGGAGTAAAACATCTTAGGGCTTCTCTACAGAGAGATATTCAGGAAAATTAATACAAATTAACTTTTAAAGTGGATTAGTTGAACTACATCAAACAACTCAATTTGAAAGTTAATTTAGATTCACCCGTTCAGTTGGCATGGATTACCTCTACTGTGTAGACAAATCCTTAGATACATACGGTGTCTTTACACCTGTAAGAATTGCACGGAAGTTAATTTCTTGGGATTTGCAGTGTCACCACCTGGGGAGCTCGTTACAGAGAGCGTAACAGAACATGGGCATACTTAAAATGTTGTTATAGTTAGATATAAAAAAAAAAAGGCATCAAACAGGTTTTGGTGACTGAGTGAGGGAAACAATGTTAATCGAGAGGTTTTTAGCAAAGGGACAGATTAAGAAATGTAATTGAAAAGGAGGGCTGCTGCTCAGCTGGGCTGCATAACCTCTATTAAATTGCTTCTTTTTATTGTCTTTTTATCTTGTTTATTTCACTGTCAGCTACAGACAAAAGCAACAGCCGAGGTGTTCCCTGTTTTTATAGGATTTAGCTTTTGCTGCCAGCTTGATAGCTTTTTTTAATTCATTCCCCCCACAAACCACTGGAAACCTGGGTCCTTAAAGATTATTTGCATCTTGGATAAGGGAAGATGGCAAAGCACGTTAATTGTCCCCAGTTCCTAGGTCAGTGTTTCAAACACCGCAATAAATGAGTGAAGTGAGCTGTGTCACGAAGGGAGCCAGAGTTTTGTTCTCGGTGGGACAGCAGGGAATCCTAATTTGCTTGGGCACACTTAAAAATCACAGTTCACAGTGGCACTTTACCACCTTTTGTTAGCAGCACAGGCAGGGCTTGTAGCAGACCCTTCTCTGCAGGCTGCCTGTTGGAAAGAAGCTGTTGTTTTCCTCTAGAGAAGTGAGCCAAGCGTGTGCTGTGCGGATTTCTCTCACAGTACTCACAGTCATTTAACCTACTGTAAAATCCTTTTTATGGACTGTTTGGGGTTTTATGAAATTCTTCATCAGACTGTTACTTTTTTATGGGGCTGCCACGCAGCACCTATTTTGAGCTTCAAAGCTTAGGAAGTATGTTTAAAAAAATAGCCACCATCATGCATTCTGACAGTATTAGTTCTTCTTTCAGAACAAAACAGAACTTGGGCAAAAAATAAATCGGACATCCCTGTAATATTCTGTCCCTCTGGCCCAAATCCTAAGTGTTGCATTTTAAGGAAGGATGACTTCCTGATTATGTTGAAAGCGCCTCAGTGGACTTGGCTTCTCGTTGACTTTGTATGGCCTTGGGTTAATCGGTCATTTTTAATCCACCGTTTCCCATCGTGTTTAATGAAGTTTGTAATCTTCCTGTCTCCCATTCTTTGTTTGTCTTGTTTATTTAGGTTGTCTTCCTGCCTGTGGTTAGGTGCACACTTAAAGTGACTGGTTAACTATGCTAGCTTTTCTTCTTTGATTTCAATGAAGCTATTCCTGAAGCTCACGCACGTGGGCCTGGGGGACTGTGGTTTCTTTAGTAGTCTCCGTAGGACAAAGGAGCCTTGATTCTCATTTGGATCTCTTAACACCTGCAATAATTTCCGGTGACTTTTCAGTTTCCAAATAAACGATTTTGTAGGAAATCCAAAAGCTGAAATCACGCTGGTTTGTGTTCTGTCATTCAGTTTCTCTGGTCACTTATGTTTGATTTTTGACTTGGCTTTTCTTATGAAGGCAAATATTAAAACTTCTATGTCATGGTTAAAAGGAAGACTGGCCAGTGGATATTGTCCAGAACTGGGAAAGCCAGCACTGAAGTTTCATCCCCTGTAGATTTCATTTTGAAGCCAGACGTAAACCCAAGTTGGAATACAGAATTTAGGTCTGTACACCTACATGTTAATCCTTAAAGCCTTCCCTGAATTGCAGACCATCCTTAGGGATGACAGCTTCCATTGTGATTTTACTTTGTCATTCTTCACATTAATAATTAATCTTTTCACTGGCCTTTTTTTGCAATATAGGGTTTACTAAAATTAACCCCCCAAAATGTGTTTAGTCTGGGATAAGTTCTGGAGTTTTTTTCAATTAAGAGCTTTTCTTGAATGATTAAATACTAAGAACACTGTGGAAATCTAAGTAGAGCCTGTATGAATTTTTCCTTCCTGCTCTAGCCCGTAGAAGGCAGAAGTGGTCTGTGGATCCACGAAATAGCGCCTGGAGTAAAGATGAATCTAAATTTGGCCAGAAGATGCTGGAAAAGATGGGCTGGTCCAAAGGAAAGGTATGATCTAAAGGAGAGTTGTCTAGCTGAAGGGTGGAAGACTGCCGGGGGACTTGTGATCTCAGTGTTTAGAACAGCCGTGTTCTTTCTGTTTGATGTATTCTAAGTGTGCAGAGAATTTGAGCAATGATAGATTTTTACAGTTTGTTACAAAGGTGCTTGCTTATTCGTGCCTGTCTTGCTTTGCAGTTTGTCTCCCCTCTCTTTGACAAGGTAACGTCCCCAAGTAAGAGCAGGAGCTGGCACATTAAACCAGGTGGTGGTTAAAGGCTTCAGGTTGCCTTTATGCCCTCAGTTCTCTCTCTGGCATCTGGTACTGTTTAAAGCAACTCCAGGGCCTGCTTTAATCTTTTACCTGTTTTTAAAGGGTACTTCTGGTTTGTTCCTTGAATGGCCAAAGTGCAGCGTTACGTGAGCTGTATTCCTTCCTAGCTCCAGCCTGTACCTGTGTGGTGTGAGGTGACTGCTTTCTGGTGCTAAGAATAATCTCTAGGTCAGTGCAGAGAGCTGCAGACATCTCTCCTGCCTCTTAAAGGCAGTTTTAACTCCCGCAAAGGTGCCTCAGCAAAGCTGAGATTTGGGCCTGCATGTCAGTGTGTTTAAAGAAATGAAGGCACACACCACCCACCCAACCCCAATGTTTATTTAATTCTTCTCCTAGATGTCCTCTCCCAGCCTGCTTTTTATATAAAATTATAAAATAAAAATAATAATAATATAAATAATATAATCATAATAAAAATAGGACTATTCTGAATTCTGTGAATGCACTGAAACTTACTAAAATACACCTACTGTTGGATTTCTCAGTGTAGTCTACTGTTGCCTCGGTTGGCTTCCAGTTAGTGCATATAAATCTGGCTTCTAATTGCCTGTAATTTCACAAACAAGAGGTGGTACCTGATTCAAAGGCTGCTGAAGTCAAGGAACTGCCATTGGTTTCCCTAGGCTTTAGAACAGACTATTAGAAATATGGGGCTTTTTATGTAAATTGTATGCATAGATGTTTTATGGGTCTAAGATTAAAATAGATGTGTAAACCAGAGTAGAAAAAATGCAATTAAATGTTCTGATGGTATTTTAGGCAGCCAGCTTCTCTGACCATAGACAACACCTTTGCCATTATGAACCCTGTTTGTGTCAGGGTGTGAAAGGAAGCCCTCATGTTCTTTTCTGCCTGTCACCACCCCCCCATCTTCTTCACAACAATAAGTTTCCTACTTGGCTTACCGGATCTTCCTTTACAGCAGTTATAGCTGTACCAGAAGGAATTATGTCTCCATTTCACGAGCAACTCAGACAAATGGAACCTTAGCTTGATCAAATTAATGGGCAAAAGCCCATCTGTGCAGTGAAATTAAGCTGCTTACACTAGTCCTGTTATTAGTTGTATTGGAATTGGGTCATGGCAGGATGTGTAGCCAAGTGTCCTGCTTGCTTCCATGCTTTTTGGTCAGCAGAAGTTTCATGGTAAATTTTCCACCCCACTCACCAAATAAACTCTACTGGATTTGTAGGAGCAACAGCCTTTTTCAAATATGCCTCGTTGCTTCACATATGCCCAGGATCTGTCCACAGGGCTTCTCTCCACGACTCCACCACGTACTTGTTTATTATAGCTGTACACTGAGTTGATTTGTTACTGGTGACAGATTAGGGAAAAAGCAGGCAGATACCAGGAATAAAGTCTTCAACCAAATGTCTTTTGTTTTTTTTTTTTTTTTTTCCCTGATAGTAGAACTAAAAAAAGATAATTCTGGGCCTAAAGTTTGCTTCCCAGATTTGAATAATCATCGTTTTTAGGACAGACAAACCTAATGTTTGTTTGCTCTAATATCTTCATCAACTTATGAGTGTGGATGAGAGGAAAGAAGTTCTTAAAGGTCCTGCTAGCTCCAGTCTGATCCTCACGCACCCGCTTCTCCCGTATAACTTCATTTAGTGTTGTACATTCTGTGCAGCATCTGTCTTACAGCCGTCACACAGCTGCCTTCCCGGTGACGGAGGTATTTTTGGTGAGAGGCATGTTCTTTTTATGTAGTGTCTTGTTTTAAAATTGTAAACACTTTGGACTTGCCTAGGAATGTCAGGTGGCTTCCTGATTAATCACCCAACTACTTAATGTTGTTGCTATTTTAGTGTTTATAATACTTCGCTGGAGGCTTAAGTAGTAAATTAAAAAAAACTTAATATCTCATGTGTGCTAATGCCTGTGAGTGAATGCAGTTGCAGGCAAGCAAATAAATGATAAGCTGTGCTTTCTTGCTATATTTCATTGCAAACTGTCTTACAGTACTAAAGTTCTGTTTGCTTAGTCACTGCTGTAAAATCCTCACGCTTTTACCCTTAAATCCTCATTAGGGTCTTGGGGCTCAAGAACAAGGAAATACAGAACATATCAAGGTTCAGGTGAAAAACAACACGCTGGGGTTAGGAGCAACCATCAATTACGAGGTGAGCGCTAGACCCAGGTAAGGAAAGGGCTCCCATTTTACCTAAGGCCCCAGCCTGTGGAATGGGACGTTAGTGAAATCTCTTGTCACGTCTGGTGGCAGCATGTACCTATGCAAACGCCTCTGCAGAAGCTCTTGACCTGGAGTTTAGTTCTGCTTTGTTGGGTGTTTTACGAGTAAGTACCTGCTTGGAAAGGTTACAGTGAATTCTGGGAGCAGGCTGTTCAGAGATTTTTTTGCTTCCAAGCAAATCACTGAAATACCTCCTTTCTCCCCGTGTTTTCTGCCCAGCTTAGCTTTATGCCTCTTCCTGGTAGAGACTGCAATTCCTTTCTGACTGGCGTTCAGGTACAGAGGCAGAGCAAAATGTGGTCCTAAAGGTGCTTGTCTCGTAATTAACATCTTAAGTAACTTTGCTGGGAAAAATCACACTAGTATTTCCTGCCTACTTTTGAAAACATCTTGCGCAGACAGGGAACACGCAGAGCCAACGGCAGCTCGGTATTGTTTAAGGATTTATAAACACAGCCCTTATCATTTCTGCACTTTGGAGTGACTGTAGCAAACTGTTAGCGTTGCCACCTGTGGAGCTTCTGAGGGTCCCTCCCACCAACAAGGACTGAGTATATATAATTAAGTTACTTCTTAGAGTGCAGAGTCTTAGTATCTGTTTTAGCAAAACTTCTGTTAGTTCTGAAAACTTTTGCCTTGTATTCATGTGGGTGATATTTACAGGACAACTGGATTGCTCATCAGGATGACTTCAACCAGCTTCTGGCTGAACTGAATGATTGCCATGGACAGGGTGAAACAGGTAGGTTCATGCTTTTCTCAATCAGATGCTGGAAGCCTAGCAGAGTTTCCATTCCTTGTCTTAAAATGCTAGCTGAGGCCTAGTCCTTTGGGCTGCTAATAGTCTCCTTGCTGAGGTTGACAACTTCCCCTTCGTCCCCAAAATCAGGGGGAGCCAAAGGACATGTTGCCATCCGTGCCCATGCTCAAGTTTGTCTGCCTGGATGTGTAGATCTCAGTGGACTGGTTCTGCTCTCAGTCAGGCCTCTATTAAAGGCTTTTTGCTGGAGAAAGCAAAGATGAAATTTTGAACTTGTTTATTTTATCCCAAGACCACAACATGGAGGACCTTTTGCTGGGATGTACTACAGCAGCGCTTGTTTCTTTATGAAGCAACCAGAGCCAGTATGGAGGCTCAGAACACAATCACTAACCATTGCAATGTGTTTGCCTTCCTTTTACTAATGAACTGTCATGCCTGGCTTCCAGGCTCTGGTGGTTTCCTAAATACCTACTTTTCCTGTCTTCAGAGCTGCTGCTTAGCTTTTGACTCAGAGTTGTGTGTCTCTGTTTTGAGTGTGGTATAATGTGATTTTTGTAGCCCTGATGTAGAGCACACAAGTGGAAAACCTACACAACTTTCCCAAAAGGGCTATTTATAACCTCTTTTAATTTTGAAAAGCTTTGTGCAGTTTGACCTTGGTTTGTAAAAATGAAGCTATGCAAAACTAGTGCGTGTGAGCTTACAGAAGTAATTGTACACATCAGATGGTTTATCATCTCTCCTTTAGTTAGACTCAAGTTTAAACTCTGATCTTGTATTTCAACAATTCTATGTGGTTTGTTGTTAAACCAAGGGCTTCTGTTTGGACACAGCAGTCTGTCCACATGCTACTAGTGGCAGAATTGCCAGCTTGGTGAATTTAGCAACTGTTCATTCATTCATTCTTAACATTTGAGCACAGAAACTTTTCTAGGAGAGGAAAGGTAGAAAGAGGAGGAAAATTAGTTAGCAAGAAGGATCAAATTTGGTTTCTAATCTTAGAGGGCTAGGATTAAAATTCTGAACCTGATGCTTTTTCTTTTTTTTTTAATGCCTGTGTAAGTTATCCTCTAATCACGGTCTGAAGCCACACAGTGCTAG